AATGCAAGGCAGGTGAAAGTCCTTAATTTTCTAAAAACACTTCTGTGTCCTCTAAGAGGGGAAACAGCATGAACATTAATAACCATTTCCCAAAACCCCACTGACATTGATTTGCAATGTTTGTGCAAGGGGTCTAAGCCCTCTAACCTATGGCTCCAGGGCAGCAGGTTACAGCATCTGGAAAACACAGCCCTGCCTTTCTCCTTGTGGCTTTGCTGACAACAGTCTGTTTTGACAGAGCAGGACTGGGTCAGGTGTGATGCTTTGCCCACATGCTCAGCTTTCTGTCTCTACACAGGTCTTAAATTAAACCCAAAGTATAAGGAGGAGAAATCCTGACACTGAAAAAGTCAGCGGGGTTGCTGCATCCTTGGGGCACACAGAAAACCAAGGGAAGTTGTAACTGCTGGTCATCTTTTTAGAGGCTAATATTGGGATAATGTTAACTTCTCCCCTTTAATTTTTATTTTTTGATTGTTCACCACTGCATGGTGTTTGTGGCTTATCAGAAACTATTTGCCAGCAGCTGCCTTACCAGAAATATTTGGCAGACAAACTTGTTGCATCACCCTCCAAAACTGCCTCTCGCCACCTCTGAACATCACTGCCCCATCAACTGCTACCATGCCATTTGCATTCATCTCTCATATTAATCAAAACTGGTCTGTGTTTAGCTAAACTGACCTGCAATTTCCAGCACTTCATAGCCAAGTACCAGAGAAATACTGAAAACTTCTGGAGCAAATCCTCCCTCTCTTTCGAGGCAGCTAATAGAAGTGGTCTCTGACAATCTCTGTGCACTTGCATGGGAAAAACACGTCCCTGTCAGCATCTAAAAATGATGACCCCAAGCCTCTGACAGGTGAGCCTACAGCATGCCAGGTCTGGGCTCTCAATCATGTTGATTTTCTTATGTCTGTTGTGTTAAGCAATACTATGAAACTACACAAAATATCTGACACAGAACTAAGAAAATTAGCCCCAGTCACTTCATATGCATAAAAAGGCTACTGGGGCATGAGATAATCCTGGGCTGGTTTAGCTGGAAATCTGGAACTGCTTTCCCTGCTAAAATGAATCTGGAGACAAAAAGGTGCTGAGGGGAGAATATAGGTCCCACACCACATTTATAAATCTACTGCCATGCAGATAATATTCCCCAAAACAACTGGGCTTGACAAAAATGTTGCATCCATCCATTTTATCACAGCTACCTCATAACACATGTGAAATGAGCTAGGTTACAACTATTTGTATTGACAATAACATGCCAACCTAGACCATAATACTCTCAGCTTTTGATCTCCTTTCTTAAGGCAGTTTGGTGTCTTGACTCCAACCCACTGATTCTTGGTGGGGCTTTGGGGGGCTTTTTCCTTATGTCATTTCACCTGGGGAAGTGCTCTGTGGAGTGGCTCTTAGCCTGTATTTCACACCACAGCTGTCTCATGAGTGTGGTTTTGGGGTTTTTTTGGGGGGGTTTGGTTTGGTTTGGGGAGGGTTGTTGTTTCTTTGTTTGCTTTCTGTTTGGGTTTTTTTTCTAGACTGTTGGCTGGACTTTCGCTTAAAAAGGAAATTTTTTTTTGCTATCTTGTGAAAATAGGATGGTTACTGAGAAGGTAATATATGCAATTTCTCAGCCTGGACACATGTTCTGTCTTGGTTGCCAGCCCCCACCTGTGTAGGTGACTCCTGCTCATATCAGCTTTACGTTTGGTTTAACAGGTTTGGCAAAGACCCATTGGCTGCTGATGGAGCAGGTGTAAAACAAGCAAACAAAAATCAAAGCAGAGGTTTGAATCAAACTTGTGTGAGATTTGTTGGAAGAAGTGAAAGTACATCTTTCCAAATATGCAACCTATAAAATCCATAAAATGCAATATCCTATCCTAAAATACCTATTAAAAAGTTCCTTTACAGAAGGAAGCAGTGCTTTTCAGATATGACAACTTGCAGCAAACTTTTATCTTTTAATCCAAATAGACCAGAAATGTCAGTGTAACAATGCAACTGTCTTTATTTTTTATTTCCTCTCCAAGCAGCAAGGAATTTGGCATTCTGATTGCAAATGCCCTTAAGTCAACCCTTAGTGTGCCACATCCAGTGGTGGTTGGGTAGGTAATGGCACCTGAAGTCCGTGACAGTTTATTTTTCCCTGAGTTTTCCATCCCCAGGATCTGAAAACTCCACTGATGAAATTGAATTTTTCAAGGGGAAATGCAGGATGAGCCGTTGTGGAAGACTCACGTGCAGGGTAGGATGTTTCAGCAGCAACAGCCCCTGAGCTGTGAAGTAGCAAGGCCAGCAGGCAGATGGAGATGTTTGCAAGCACTTAAACCAGAGCTTGGGAAGTGTAGGTCTTGCTTAGGCCTGCAGGCAGTTAGAGAAACAACTTGTGTGCTCAGCAGGACGCTTTCTCCCAAAATCTGGACAGGTACGTGCCGTCAGCACTGGCTGGCGATGTCCACTGTATCTCCCTGTCACTGATGGGGACACTTGCTGCCAGACCACGTCAGCAGCCAGGGTCTAGGAGCTGCTGCTGGCTCCTTGTTTTGCAGACAATTCGGTTTTAGAGTGGGAAAGGTAAATGATGATGGTGATGATGATAGTGATGGTAGTGATCATGGTGGTGATGCGCTCCCCAGCGGTTGCTTTATGTCTTTACCTCACAGGTAAAGACGTATTTTGCAGGCTAGATGTTGAACACAGCAGTTTACACAGCTATATTCTCAAAGAAAATATTTTTCTTTGGACGTGTGCACAATCTGCTGCTCTTTCAATCCTCAAAGTACTGAAATCAGGACATTTTCACCAAAACATTCAGCTGAGTCTTTCCTGAGAAACAGAAGCCCTCACACCCCAAGCACTGCCCGTTTCCTTTTACCATACAACACACACTGCCCCAAGAACTACAAAGCTTATGCCTTTAGCATTTTTCCCCCAAAATCAAAAACTACAGGGTGATGAAAAGAACGAGTGCTTCTGAGTGATCAAACCAAGAATTTTATTTCCACCTGTTAAAAGAAGTCTCTGTCTACCAGCAGAGTCCAACATAGATAAGCAGACAGACTTGACTATATTTAAATAAATTAACAGTTTATTTATAATTAAACTCAGGAAAAATGGAACTGTATACAACAAGAACTATGTACATGAAGAAAAAAGTCTTTCTGCCACCTATCCCCGAAAATCCATCTGATTGGGGGGGATACTTCTGTCCTGAGAAACAGAAGTACTCAGAAATAAACGGGATGATAGTCTCTGGGAGGGAGTTCTGTTCTGCAGGCTGGGCAAGCCCTGGAATTCTCAAGGGCAACAGCGATGCACCGACTGCAGAAGAGATGGCCACACTGGGTTGACACAACATGTCGGTCACTTCGTATAATCTGGAAGAAAGGAAACCACAACGTGTTGTGAGGAAAGGATTCGAGTTTGCTGCTCTACTGGCACCAGGAAAATAGGACTTGGAATATCTGGAATCAGTCCATTACTAGAATAAGGAACCCCCAGATCTGCCAGGGCCATCTTGGCAAGGGTTTCTCCCTCTACGTGCACCGCCAAGAAGTGACTTGTGGAACTTCACAGCAAGGTCTGTGCTTCAAGCCAGCTGCCTGTAGCACCCCACATTAGTCAGCTGAGTTGCACAGCTCCCCCTCTGCCCCGTTACCCCTCCCACAAAGCTGAAAGGATGACAACATGTGGATCCTTACCCGTGAATAAAAATCCATGCAGATTGGGCACCTTACAGCTCGTTGCCATTCCCTAGAGAGAACAGACCCAGAATTAATACCACTGGGCATCGAGGGTTACTCATATATAAAATGTCACATAATTATCTGACTGCACTGAGTAGCCACGATGCATTTCTTTTGAAGAACCCTGTATGTCTTTAACTCTCTCAGTTTGCTGCATGTAATGAAGAGTTCAGATCTCCCTGTCCTAAAGGAAACAGTGTCTTGGTTTTCACTGGGAGAAAGATGAAGTCAGCCACCCTGCTCTAGGATTTGAAATAATAGCAGTCTCTAGCACTGGGAAGTCTATATATGGCAGCATTTATCTCCAATGGGTCATCAATAACAGCTTTGCAACCAAAGCATCAAGCTGTCCTCTGGAAAGTATTCATTCTAGAATGGAATGAGGTCTGATACTACAGAGTAACACTGCAGATGGCTCTGGCAAGCTCTAGCCTCAGGAAGAACCCTCTGGTCAATGTTCTGCAGCTCTGAGTTCTTCCAGCCTTACCTACTGAGAGCAGGAAGGCACGCTCTGTAACACGCTTGAGACAGAAGGAAAACATATTCTTTTTTTATTTTAAGTTCTCTCTTATGTTGCCTTTCAGTAATCCAAAAGGCTCAAAGCATACCAGCTTTATTAAGACTTGCACAGAATTTGCCTGGCTGCTGCCTGCCAGTCTTGTGATGCCAAACCATCCACACTAATGAAAATATTTCCATATCCAAGATCACTACTAGAGCCTAACATGAAAAGTAAATGCAACATATTATGAGCAAGGGCCTGTGACTAATCACCCTTTCTTGCCATACCCCCAAATTCGTCTTTAAGGTTGTATGCAAAGTTGCCCATCTGCCTTGGGCTGCCTTTTTCTCCCAAAGTGCAAACATTATCATTTCATCATCATGCAGCACAGGATGCAATCCTCATTGAAAGAGGGAAACAAGTAAAGTGAAGGTTTCAAAGAAGCAAAAATCACTCTTTGGTAGGTCACAAGGCATACGTACTCTGAAGGTGCAGGTTCCTCGTCCGGTGATCTCCGTACTTGAAGCACTACATCAGCCGCTTGAGACTCTATGCCAGTCTCTTCATACTCTATCTCAGTCAGTTCAGATTCTACGTCAGTCACTTCAGACTCTACGTCAGTCACTTCAGATTCTACATCAGTCACTTCAGATTCTACGTCAGTCACTTCAGATTCTACGTCAGTCACTTCAGATTCTACATCAGTCACTTCAGACTCTACGTCAGTCACTTCAGATTCTACGTCAGTCACTTCAGACTCTATGTCAGGCACATCATATTCATATTCATATGTTTCATATTCATAACTGCGCAGTACAGGGCTGTCCAACAGTTGCTGGCTTCTTGGTGTAAGATTTCTCCCTTGTTGTTCATACCCTGTAAGTTAATTTTGGTAAGTCAGATCTATCATTTACTCTCTCTTTTTCCCTGGAACTATCCTTCAAATGCATTATTGTAAATAGTTTGTAATGGGTCCTATTTGAAATGGACACTATTCAGCTGGGTTACAAGTAATCTCAAACAAAGTAGTTTCCTAAATATTAAGGCTGAACCCTTCCACACATTGAGACTATTCTGCTACGGAAACAAAACATTTGCTATAATCACCCTACAAACAGTTAAAACATGACCTGAGAGATTCTCAGTGTCCACTGAGATACACTACCTGTGAATAAATATGCCCCTATAAAGGGAAGGTCTCTCACACTATTCTTACTAATACGGTCTGCTGTGATCCTGTGGTAAGGAATGGCAACAATTGCTGTGTGATAGGGGAGAGAGGACTGCAGTCAAGTTTCCAAGGAGCATGGTGATGTAGCACATACACAAGAAAAAGGCTTGGCAAAACAGAGAGTGCTTTGTTCCGAAAGTTTCAGAAGGGATGGAATAAATGCTTAAATCTAAAACTGTACATTCTGGAGCTGCTGTGCTTCCTTGTTGCTGTATGATGCTAAACTGTTGCCCTCTTTTTGTCTGTGTTAAATGAAACCTCCCCACTCAAAGGCACTTTCTATCAAACGAGTCTTATTAAGAACAGTCCTTGGAAATTATAAAAACACTTGAAGCAGTGTCTCCCTAGAAATTGCCATCATCTCCCTCCTCAGTTAAGGTAACTTGAAAATGGAGTTTTATCACCCAAGTTCAAAGGAGATCAATTTTTAGTGGCCTAGTCTTTAACATCTGAAGGATCAAGACCTACTGTTCACTTTTTAATTCTCAGAAACCGCATGCAACAATGATCTCTGCAACTCCTGTGTCCATGTAACAATAATCCAGCACTAATCAATTAAAATTACAGAAAATGTCACCAAATTAAAGTTATTTCCTGCAAGAGCATTCAGCTACAACTTCTGTTGCAGGGATATTCCACTGTGTCTGATAGCAGCTAGCAGACACAGATGAGATCCATTCTCTAAGACATTGGCCAGAGGCTTTAGCACTGTCCTTTGCCTTCTGCTAAATGCAGTTTCAATCCCTGGTACTAGAGATTGTTGGAAAAGACAAACAAAAAATAATGATTACATTTAGGACAATTCCATTAGCAACTGGAAAAAGTCAACTCACCTTCAAGAAGCTTCACCAATGCATATGGGAAGGGAGAGAAAAGAAAATACAATTAGAATACGGTGTGCATGCCTGGTGTTCCATACTAACACCAGCGCAGTGAAGCAGTTACGACAGAACAGGCAAAGAATGGTAGGCTATAGACTTCTTATTTTGGTTAAGAACATTAAAAGTAATAGTCAGTTAGCTGTTGCCCTGAAAACAAGCAAGAGGGTGCTGCTAGTTCTGCTCCCACTGATAGAACGGGGTAAAATCAGAGACAGTTTAATAACATCTGAACACCCTTCTGCCACCTCCTATGTTTCAGATCTCTAACTGGATTTGACCCAGAGGTGTATCTTTCTCTCTTTCTCCCAAATGGGAAAATTCAGCAGTGATAGCCATAAACAATCCATGTTAGATGAACGGCTGCTGAAGAAAGGAAACCACAATAGGGGTTTGGAGTAAAGAATTCAACTTTGATGTTGCATTGGCACCAGGCTAATAGGACTTGGAGTATCTGCAATCAGTCAGTATCTGCTAGAATAATAAGGAACCCACAGATCTGCCAGTGCCATCTTGGCAAGGGTTCCTCCCTGTGTGTACACCCCTGAGAAGTGACTTGGAGGGACGTGCTAGTTGGAGCTCCAAAGCAAGGTCTGTGCTCAAGCCAGCTGCCCGTGGCATCCCCCATCAGCCAGTTGAGCTGTGCAGATCCCCCTCTGTCCTCTTTGCCCTCCCATAAAGCTGAAAGGATAACAACATGTGGATCCTTACCTCTGAGTAGTCATCTATCCAAATTGGAGAGCTAACAGTACCTACTGGCCGTGTGCTAGAGAGAAGAGAACTTGAAAGAAAATGCAGCCATTAATTTCACTGTGCATGGAGGGTTAGCAACACATAAAGTGTCAGAAATTAAAACATTCCCTTCTCTGATCTAGCAACATCCCAGTCCAGCAACACAATCATTTCAGGAGCTTTTATGTACTTCAAGCATTTCAGTGTGTCTCAAGCCACAGTGTAAGATCCATTCCTTAATTTCTTAATGTGATAAAAAAGTTTTCTTCTGGATTTTACTGGGTTTTTGGATGGGCTTTTAAAAACAGACCGGCCACTATATTCCAGGTCTGAATTTTTCACACAGAATCAAGCAGAACTCAAAGCCTTGGCAAAAACCTCTTTCTACCCTGTGTCAGAAATTAGACTTTAGAAAGTTACTTTATCTGTCACATACCCATCATTATCTCTTGGTTCCTCTTCATCATCACTCGTCAGTAGCACAACTGAATTGTCTGCTGCACTGGAAACAAGTGGGTGCTCCTGGTTCTGCTCCCACTGCTGCAATGGGGTCGAAATAGAGGCAGCTTAGGAACCACATGTAGCCTTTCCTCCCTGCTCCCCTCTTTCAGTTCCCTAATTGGATTTAGGCTGGACGTGTTTCTATCCCTCTTTCTGCCCTAAACAGGTAAATTCAGCAGTGATGGCCATAAACACTTCATATTAGATGAACACCTCAGTGACCTGGAGAACCTTAAACGGATGTTGCAGGTAAACACTTAATATTTGAGAAGTCAAAATCTTCCTGTCCTCTCCTGTTCTTTTTCTTTAAATCCCTGGCCTGTATGATGAGTATCTCTGGAATAACTTCCCTTTTAAATTGCATCTCCTTCTGTTACATTACCAATGACTGGTAAATTTTGTGCCCAAGTTCTGGAGCAACAGGCTCTTTTAAATTACTTTTTCACTACAAGGGATACTTGGAAGTGTTAATGTGTTCAGAGGTGCATTTGACTGGTAACTCTGTCTAAAGTGGTAAATCAGAGCTGTGTTTCAACCCTTGAGGTCAGGCTCCCTAGTTAGATGCCAGAAGATAGGCCCGGGAGCACATGAGAAAACTAATTTGACTGCAAGATGGACAGAAGTGTGCCATTCATTACTTACCACAACAGAATCATCACCAGTTAGATCAATGACTTCAGGCTCAGCAGATTCGTCTGTGAGATCTATGATTTCGTCAACAGCTGAAAAAGAGAAATGGGCTGTCACTGTGGAACAGGCTGAGGTAGATTCATTTGTGCCTTGGGTCTCTTCTCTTCAGGAATGTGGCCAAAATTTCACTCAAGCTTTGCCCTCAACAGTCCACAGTGACCATTACCATCCCTGTTTTATCACAGGTGGCAGCACAAGAGGAACAGCAGCTGAACTTCTCACACAATTCTGTTGGATAACAATATCTTGCGGGAGGTACACACCAACAGATGATTCATCTAACATAGGGTAATGTTTATCAGACAGAAAAAAAACCCAAAACAAAACCCAAAGCAGAACCAGAATCATAGAGGGTATCATAATTTTACAGTACCATGCTGTACATGTTCCCCTGAGGGATGGGGCACAGCTACCTTTTCCTTATCTTCTTCCAACTTCAGAGATCTCATACTTAGTTTGCCACCCTCTGTAGTGGCAGCTGTGGCACCTGCCAGCTCATCAGAGTTCATTCAGATGTCTGAGCAGCACTTGAGGACCTTTGATACACAGCTCATCTCCCTCATTTTAGCAGAAATTCTCTCTCATTCTCTTTCAAATGAAAGCATGGAATCTCTCTCATTTTAGTGGAAAATGTATCACAGCTCAGTAACAAACCCAAATGGTTGTGAGAAGGCTTGTTGTTTAGAGATGCCATACTAGGCACTTCCTAAAATCCCATGTTTCCCTTCCTCCCCAGTAAAGGGCCTAGAAACTGGCAAAAGCATATGTTCAGCTGTATGTCAAACCTCTAGAAGCAGTTTCTGTTCTTACCAAGGTCAAAAGAAAGCACATGACTGTCTTCGAGGTCTATTGGCTCTGCTGCTGAAGCTTCACCGGCACTAGAAGCCAGCAGCCTGCTTCGTTTCGGAGCTTGTCTGGAATTAACGGCTCCTCCACGGCGCTTTCGCCGATTCTAAGAGAGAACAAAGTCTTAGCATTTTGTGTGGGAGTAATATTAACTGGGCCCTCATTTTTGCAACACCAGTGAAAGTACACGAGGATACAGAAAACAACTCCACAACGGCTGGAATACACACTGAATGGTGCTCTGGGTCATTCCTACCTGAGCCCATTGCATCAAGGAAAAGACATCACCCCTGATCTCTTACCAGTTGCCTCACCAGGAAAAAGCCTATCCCAGTGGCTTGCAAATAAGAAGACTAGTTCACAATTCTATCAGGCTGTTGCTCACACTGTAAGAATTTCTGAGCTATTGCTAGCACCCCAAGAGATTCAAAACCTTCAGTATCCCAGAACATGAAGTTACATAAAGTTTTAACAGGCTTATCTTCCCGTGCACTTGCTAAAAACTCTTGAAATCCTTTCTAGAAGTACCCCAGAAAATATATTTCAGAAATCAGATTTGCATTGAGTAGTAAAGTACTTACTGTGCTCATGGTGTTTTGTGATCTAAAACCACTGGAAAAGTCAGTGGGACAAACACCAAAAAAGGAATTTCAGGGAAGTTACAGCAATCGATCCCTTAGACTCCTTAGGCAGAACAGTCTACAAAATCCTGATTTCTAGGAATCAGAGAATGATGTTCTTCCGAACCTATCAGAAAAGAAGAGAGGAGATTACCTATCTGGAATGCCTGTTCTCTTAAATACCCACACATACTCTAAGATTCCCTTTGACGAGTCACCAGTTTCTGCCCAAAGCTAGAGGGGAAATCTATGAGTCTGGTACTTGAGTCCCAGACACCTGCAGCTGGACTTGAAGCCCAGAACAGCCCCACAGCATCAGAAACACTTTCAAAGATCATCTACACTCACCTGTTCAGTTAGTTGAGAATTTTTCTTGAAAATTATCAGCAAATCGCCTTCTGTTCCCACCAGGGACAGAGAAGACAGAGGCTCTGCACCTGCTTCCCAGCAGAGTATCCGCCAACTGCCAACTGTCGATGGAGTGTTGGGCTCCTGACCCCTCCGTGCGGACGCCCGCATGGCAACCGTTTGGTAACATTCCATGTTCCGGTAGCCGGTGACCTCGTTGCACCCTCGTGGAGGCCCAGAATGCTTTGGCTTGGAAGGGACCTTGAAGATCATCTGGTTCTAACTCCCCTGCCATGGATAGGGACACCATCCGCTAGACCAGGGTGCTCAGGGCCACATCTATCCTGGCCTGGAATAGTGCCTTCCAGGGATGGCGCATCCACAGCTTCTCTGGGCAGCCTATTCCAGTGTCTCGACACCCTCACAGCTCTTCCTAACATCTAATCTAAATCTTCCCTCTTCTGGTTTAAAATCGTTCCCCCTTTTCCTCTCACTCGCTGCCCATGTGAAGAAATCGCTCTCTGCCTTGCCTATAGGCCCCTTCAGCCACTGGAGGGCCGCAGTGAGGCCTCCGCCGGAGCCCGTTCCTCTCCAGGCTGGACATCCCCGGCTCTCCCAGCCTGGCTCCATAGGAGAGGTGCTCTGGCCCTCTGAGCATCTTTGTGCCCGCTGCTTCCTTGCCCCTTCGTGCCGCCCCGGCGGGCACATCCCGCCTGTGCCGGGTCGGAGCCGGGCGCAGCCTCCGGGCGAGGCCTCACGAGGGCAGAGCAGAGGGACACGTCCCGCTCCCTCCGCCTGCAGCCCGAGCAACGCTGCAGCCTTTCGGTGGGTAAAGAAACCCCACCAAAACCTCCCCTCCCCCGTGAGAAAATTAAACCCTTTCTTAACCTTCTTCCTCTGTGTTTATTACTCTGTTGTTGAAAAGACTCGTTTTAAATTTAACCCTAATTAAAAGCAATTAAAATGACACCAAACTTCCCTTCCCCCCCCAACTGATGAAAATCTAACAATTTAGATCCTTATTTCAAGTCTCTAAAGTCTTGAAGTTTTCAAGTGTTCAACTGTTCCTCTGCTGAGCATTTCACAACAGGGTTAGGAGTAAGTTTGCTCTGCTTCTGGGGACAGCACCTTCCCCCCCAAGGCCCTGCTCTGCTATGAAAGATGACACAGGAAAAAAAGTGAAATTAAAATTCCATTTTCTTTCTAGCCAGTCTGCCACTGGCCCTGCATTCAAAGGGGTTGGCTGGATCTCTTGAGAGTGGCAGCAACCCTGTCTCAGCCCTGCTGGATGCGGGATGCTCCTCAGCTTCCGATCCCATGGGCACTCTCAGGTGGGGGGAGGATGGTGGCAATTTATCCAACACTGCAGATAGCATAAGGATATTTTCAGATCATGCTCTATGTGAGGAGGTTCATTTCTTACAAAAATTTCTCTGTTATTACAACTGTTGCTTTTAGGTCAAAATGTTGAGAGTTTAAGGATGGTTGGGGATGACTTCCCCATTTTTCTCCATCCTGTGTCTGGGAATTGAAGGAAACTCATTTCAGTCATCATGTTCACATCCTTCATTCCTCATATTTGTTGCTGGTTTGAGGTACTTAATTATTCATATATTAAATATATATTTGGAATTGCTCTAGCATCTTAACATTTGTATATCAAGCATTAAATCTCCTTTAGGATTTTTTTTTATCTGAGCCCTTTGGATCCAAGATTTTTGGAAAGCAAGTGTTTAAACTGGATTTACTGGAGTATGAAACATCTCATGTATTAAGGCAGGGACCCTGTCCACTCACACTCCAGGTGCAGCAGAGGTTGGCTGAGTGGAACCAGCACCACTTGTATTTCAGGGTGGGACTGGATGGCTTTTATCAGGAATGTGTCATTAGGGGCAAAGGAGGAGAGAGCACTAAGGAAAAGGAGGGGTAGCTTTTAGTAAGTTGAACATTTGAAGGCTATCAGGCTTGATCTTCCTCAATGCTGCTAATGATCACAGCAGGGGGCTAAAAAAATGTTTATTGTAAGATCCAACACTTTTTAACTAAAGCCACTATTGAAAATACTCATCACTCAGTGGTGGAAGGGAGGGAAATCTCTTGCCCCTTCTCTGTGCATCCTACAAAAGCTGAAAAGGCCACATACCTGTTCTATCTCCTTCCATGTGGACCAGCTTTAAAGCAAGGCATAAAACCTCTGAAATACCCCTTGCCTTTCCATTTCATGAAGGAAGAAGTTTACATCTAGTAACTTCCAAAAATAAAAGGTTAATTATAGCCAACAGCGTAAACTAAGCCCAGATTGAGCTGGCTTCTATATTAATCACCCCGGAAAAACAGCATTGGGATTTTCACTGATGGCTATGGTTTGCCACCATTTTTTGTCAGAAGAAAGCAACTCATAAGTGAGAAATGCATGGTTCACTGGCCAGAGGTTTTCAGCTCTGTACTCTCCCAAATCAGGGGTACTCTGGAGATCAAAGCAAGGGTCATAAAATAATTTAAGAAGGGTGAATGTAGTATAAGATGTCATATAGCCTGCTGCAGAGTGATCACTGATGACAAGAAAAATGTACTATGATGTGAGAAAACCCATTTGCCACCTCAACTGGGTTGGTACTGCTTCTCACTCTTTGAGTCACTAATAACGAAAATGATTTTGAGCTGTGGGTAGACAAACAACTGGACTCCACAAGGCAGCAGAGGTCCAGCAACTAGCTCGGTCCTTCAGCCCCATGACCATGGCTGTGTTTGCCCACAGGGGTCTGCCTATGGGCAAGTTGGTTTTGCTGCCAGGGCGACCCAAGTGCAAGAGGCCTGCATCATTCTCTCGGGCTGCCAGGGACATATGGTGGGTTGTTGATGAGAGGGAGCGTGACACCTGGCTCCCCACACAGCTCAGCACAGGGATAGGATTGCACTCCCCAAAGCAACCCTGCATAGCAGTCCTTCTAAATACACCATAAGGATGCAGGGAAATAGGCAAGGATTACCAAAAGAAGCCCCGAAAAGATGATCATATTCACTTATAATAATTTTTACTAGTGCCACTGAGAATTGCATTGCAATTCATGTGTCAAATTGTGCCTTTGCTTGACTATAGCAATGGTTGTGACCTCGGAATACATTTCCCAATGTCTTAACGGGGAAGTGCTGGTGGATGGTCTATTAGAGAAATACATATTGAGACAGTTTGAATTAAGTAAAAACATTTTTGAAGCCCTTGGTGGGAGGCAGTAGTGAGTGGCTTGTTCTGCAGAAGAAAAACTCAGGTAGGTTTCTTATTGCTGGGACTGATTTGCACCCTTCTCAATGGCACTAAGTGCTTCTCTTGGCAAAGGATGGAGGCTTTGGAGTATCTTCCATCCTCCAAAAATCTGGATGTGCTCAGGGTCCCTCCAGTTGCCCAGGTTTGGCTGTCAGCAGGAAGGCTGAGCACTGGGAGGAGGGGTTTACTGGGGTCTGGGTGGTATTTCAGTCCATGTCAGTCCCTACTCCTTGGCACGGGATGATGGTACTGAGTAACTACAGGAGGTAAGGGGAAAAATCATTATTCTTCTATAGCTGTGTTCTTCTTCTTTTGAGAGGTGCTGCTTTCAGCTGCTCCCTCAGGCAGTCTGCTTTTGCCCTCTTCTGAAAAAACATGGTGTTATAAGGGGGACTTGTGTCTCTCAGGCTTGCCTCCGCTGTCCCTGCACAGCCATGAAAGTATCTGAGCGCTGAGCAGAGCTATTGGTGATGGGCACCACTTGGCCTGCTCTGCACAGTCGGTGTCAAGCTCTGTACCTAAAAACATCCAGTTCAAAACTCCTTTTTAAGCTCAGTGCTAAAGGTTGGTGCCCAACACCCTGTTTGCAGTACCCAGCTTCTAAACCTGTAAAAGATGCCTTTTGGACTGATGCTTGCCCCTTCAAATGGTTCCTCAAAGCTCATAATTGGTTTTTAGACTTCTTTTAAGAAGCATTGTAGCAGTTCTTAGCAACTTCGTTGGCCTGAAGCAGTAGCATGATAGTGAAATTGGGCAGGAGGAGATCACAGCTCTGGAAGAGGTAAGAAGGCTTCCTCAAGGGGTGTAATACCCAAAGGCTGAGTTCAGCAGGTTTCCTCAATGACGATGCTGCTTCAAGATACATCACTGGAAAACCTGTGCAGCTGTGTGTGCTTTGGGCAAAGGACCCGACCTGAGCCTTGCCCAGCTGGCCTGCTGTGGCAATCCCCAAGCAGGAGTCACAGATCATCTGGCTCACTTGACTCACAGGGGACCTGATGCCTTTTTCATCCAGCACCTGCTTTTTCTAGGACTGCTGCATGTGCTGGCACATGTGCAAAACCAACGTTAACAGAAATCCACTTTTGTGAAATCTGAGGGGTTTTCATTTCCACAGGTGCTGAAGAAAACCCTCAGCACCTCATATGTGAGAGCTTTTAGGCTCCAGAAAGCAGAGATAGCACATAATAATGGATGTTTCTTCTCTAAGCATGACATTTACCTGAATAAACAACCACCCATACTCACCTGGCCACATCCCCACAATTAGCATTTGTAAGAGTAGCTGAGATTTTTAGGGACAATATCTTTTTTGCTCTGTACCCACAGAAAGTACTTATCACTCTTCACTCCCCACTTTGATTCAATACTGCAGGAAAACCTTTTCCCTGGGAAACTCTCAGTTTTTCTGTTCAGTGGCCACTTGTGCTATTTGGCAGGTGAGTTTGGAAGAGCAGAGCCAGGTACCTTGGTGGTGGTGAGGAGAGGGTCCAGGGTGAGCATGCCAAAATGCTGTGTGCCCCCAGGTGTAGAGCCAGAAATTCAGGCACAGAAATTCCAGGTGCTTTAACAGTAACTGTGCGAGGAGGTAATGCTGGTTTATAATTATATGCCATTTATACCTGAACGCGCCTGTTTTATACTTGACCTTGCCATTCAGGCAGGTCTCCCTGGGAGCTCAGGGAAGCAATGGGGCAAGAGGGCAGCAATGCCCATCAGGCAGAACTGGGCATCATTCAACAGGCACAAAACATTCCCACTAAAAGGCTTTTTATTCCACTAGATGGTGCTCAGTCCTTGCTTAGGGATATTGCTTAATTGTGTGGGCAAGGATGCAGTCGAGACTGAGGATGGAGGTGACTGGGCACTACGCCGGGGTCCCCATGGGGCTGCAAACCCACCAGTTCCAGCCCTGCCAGTGGTAAGACCCCAAACCCACCCTCTTCATATGCCAGGCAATCCTGCCGAGCCTGAGTTTCCCGTAACATTGCCATAGCCCATCAGACTGGGGGTGTGATGTGCTGTGGCAATTCGGGGGTGTCACCCAGCCCAGTCTATCAGCAGCCCTGTAGCCCCTTTCACTGTGAGCCAGATGGGCCAGCACAGAGGGTCCCTGAGCCTTTGGAGGTCTTCTGGATGCTGCCCTGAACCTGGGAAGCTTCAGGCAAACCCCTGCCACAGAGTGCCTCGGTCTCCATGTCCCTGCAGCACTGCCACCAGGCTACCTGGGCTGGCTCCCCTGGGGGCACCAGGGCCTGGTACCCTGGTGGGGGCAGAGTGGGCACATGCAATTTTTAATCCTTTCTGCTGGAGACCGTGAGCTGTAGCAAAGAAGAGCCCCGAGAGCTGATGCTAACTGACAGCACCAGTGAGATACAGTGTTATCCTGGTCCTGATGGTTCCAGCATCAATCAATTGTGCATGATCCCTGAGACCCAAGTGGCCCAGAGAAGTTGTGGATGCTCCATTCCTGTAAGCATTCAAGGCCAGATGGAGCCCTGAGCAACCTGATCTACTGGGTGGCATCCCTGCCTATGGCAGGAGAGTTAGAACCAGATCATCTTTAGGGTCCCTTCTAATTTAAACCATTCTGTTATTCTACGGCCCAA